ATGGCATATTGTGCCGTGACTTTTTTGACTTTTTATGGATTTTTTTATTAGATATTATGATTTGTTAAGAAATATTTTACTTTGACCTTTGTTATGACATTTTCATAGCATACCACATACTTTACTATGGCCTTTTGAGTTATATATATATATATATATATATATATAAATATATATACACACCTCTTCTCTTCACCACCTACTGCAGGGGCAGCGTGGACTTTCTCCAACACGATGATCCAGCTCCGCTGTCACAAGGACAGACAACTACAATAAGATTACAACAAATCACCTCTGGCTAAATCCTGCTTATTATTTGAACCATTACCAGTAACCACTGCACTACCGTCTGATTAAATATCAATAACCATTGCACTACTGTTTTAATGTTATACCTATTCCACGCCACTGTACATGCTTCTATTTCACTCCCTTTAAACACTAAATACACTACATATATACTCACATACACTGTACATACTATTTTTGTGCACTTTTTCTTATTTCTCTCTACTTTAATCTTATTTTTTAATTAATTTAATTGTCCAATTTAATTGAATATGTTCTATTATGTTATTTTATTGTTTTTATTCCATGCGGAATATTTACTGTTGCTGCATACACATTTCCCCCTGGGGACGAATAAAGTATCTATCTATCCATCTCATATATATATATATATATATATATATATATATATATATATATATATATATATGTATGATATATACAAGGTCATACAATATGACAGTATGACATTTTTAACAACCATACGACATCAAAACCTTACTATACCTTTTATATGACAATATCTGACACCTCTTTTTATGACATACTAAACAGTGACATTTTTATGACTACCACAGTTTCTTTTACAGAGAATCTTGGGTGAGGCATGAACTCTTTGATGTTATTATTACATATACAATTATGACACACCATATGAAAATCATTCAGTATACTGTTCTTTAATTATTATGACATTTGAGATTATACTATTCTTTTCAACCAATGAAAAATAAAACAAAATGTTATATTTATGTTATATGTAATCCTTTTAATTTAAGTTGGCAGTATTTAATAGTTTTTCAAATATAATTATTTAATACACATTGTTAAAGGGAAACTTGACTTCTGGCAATAAGATAATGAAGACACAACGTATACTATAATATACTATTCATCATAACACACTATACCACAGCAATTTTCTGTGACATACACCACAGTAGTTTGACATTTTCATGAATCGCCGTTTTTAATGGAATTATTTTGCACGTTTTACACGTTTTTTTATGAAATATTATACTGTGACATTTTTATTATATGCCATATTATGACATTTCTATTACAAATGATATTATGTGTTATTATATAATTATTTTCATATATACATTATTCACAAGTAGCGCTTGTGAGGATATATAGATATATCTATATAATCAGAAGATATATATATACACACACGCGGCTGTGATAGTGTTCTGTATGTGCTTGGCTCACCACTGGAGGATCAGTGTACATGCTGATGTACTTCTCCGCCGCTCAGCCCGGGGCAGACAGCATGGTGAGTGTCATTTTGGCCGGATTGTACGGCCTTGCATTCACCAACGAACGCTTGTTTTTGAGTTGAAATGAAATGTGTTTATGGCTCTTTGGCCGCTGGTGTCTAAACTGGGGGTTGGCCAATTGTGGGTCGCCTTTATTCAATCACACAACGCAAAGCTCTGACGCCTCTCATCCGCCAATCAGAGTTTATTCATATTGAATCATATTCTTTGAGTGTGTCTAAATGCTACACTACACTTCCATAGTTCACTTTTGGGGCAGTGACACATTTCTCTAGTTTGTCTCAATAAAGCACATTTGATGTAAAACAGTTTTTACATCCATATTAGTTGAACAGATTAGTAATCTATATTTATCATGCACATTTGTTTGCACATTAAATAAATGTATTATACAAAAGTGTAATATGATTATGAGTATAATACTAATATAAGTGAGAAGCTCACAGGGTTGTACAGCAGTACTCTCTTTGATCAGTATTGATGGATAAACCTCTTGATAGTCATTGTTTTATTGCAGACTCCATGTATTAGAGTGCAGAGCCAACGTCAGGCTACAGATCCGTCCAGCACCTTATCACCTCATCTGAGACCCAACGCCTTCGTCCACATTGAAGGAACCAGTTTTGTGTTTATGTGGCTATAAATTGTAAAATCACGCAGTAACTTTGCGCCCATGTTTGCTCTGAAGTCAACAATACACTTTGAACCTCACGTTTATAGTGTTAATCAAAAAAATGTAAATGATTTTGTTTGTGTGTCGCATGCTGATGTTTATTTTTGCCAATGTAAATCTTGGCAGCTGTTAGTTTTCTCGTGTCCCTCTGTGGGGATTGTCACCGCTCACTGGCTTTTTGTCTAACATGAGCCACCTGTAGCGGTGTTTATTTCGATCAAGTGTGATTAATTAATTGTGATTAATTGCGCCCTTAACCGCCATTAACTTAGTGTTTACTACCGGTTTATCCGGCATGAATAATACCTCATCTTGTCATTTTTATTAAGCTGTTCATTTAGAGCTCTTAGCTCAGCGTCAGTGTGTCGCAGCCTGAATCTCACAGCAGGAGCCGCGACGCGTCGGGGGCCCTTCAGGGAGATGAAGTCCCACGGCTGCAGATTCACACGCTCGCAGGCCAGAAGTGTCAGGCAGAAAAATGTCTGCGACAGGCAGTTGCACAAATAACTGAGGGACTGGAGGACGACTGTTGACAGCTGTTGCTGTTTCGCTGTTAATGCACCGGTTGATTTATTTCTACCTTCCGTCGGGATGGAAAGAGGGAAAGAATATAACTCATATGGACAGCTGCGGTTATTGAAGTTGGAAGTAAAAGTACCGCTACTTTCTACCTAAGTACTGGTGAAACGTTACCCAGATAAAACAATGGGACCTGAGTTTGAAATGTCCGAGTACATTTTTACAAAAAACATGGTGACAACAAATGAGAAGGCTGCACATCTCACCAACGAGCCCACGTGTCTTAACCAGTTATAAATGCCAGATGCTCCTTCGCCGCCTACACATGCGACAGATATAGGTAAAGGTTTCAGGAAGCAGATGGTCTCACACTTCACATGCGACTAACTGCACAACACAACAGTCGCGCAACGACATCATTATTTGTCAAAGTCCAGCCGTGACACAAACTAAAGCATTGTCTAAAACAGATATTGCATTGTGGGATTGTTATTAGAATGTGTGACATTATTTGATTTTATTCATTTTTGAGGTCACTATAAATATAAAGCATCAAGTGGGGATTTTCGAAAACAGCGGACGTCTAATCAGTCCAAACAATTCAGATCGCCTGCGTGTGTTCTCCATGTGCAGAGAGGGAAAGATGTGTATTAAAAACCCCACTGAATTTCTCTTCAACTTTCCTTCGGCCCACAATTTTAGACATAAAAGTGTTAAAGTTGAAGGTGACAATCTTCCCACCTGACCTGATTTTAGCAAAAAAAAGCAAGTGCTCAAGTACCACGTATGACAAAACCTAAATATAACTAAATCAGCTTATCACACTGCAAATTAACTGCGCTGCCAAGGCAACACAAAGCACCGCTGAGACACAGCATGATGAAAACCACATCGAGAGAACCAGCTGCAACTCCAAAGAAAAAACATTCAGCGAGAAATCAAAACACCCATTTTCCTCATTTCACAAACACTAAAACAGCACTTCAGCCCCACCAGAAATAGTTCCAGAGCAGAGAATTACAGATTGCAAACAACCGCCACTTACATTCAAAATTGAAAAGCAACAATACAAAAAAACAGACTTTCCATTGCAAGTTTTTTTGTCTCCGTCAAGAAACTCAAGCATCACAACAGAAAATATGATTTAAGAAAATGTTGACGGGGCAGCAGCTTGTTGTGTTAGACTGAAGAAATCAGTCAGCAACAGAAGTCATGGAGCCTGAAATGATTCTTCATCAAACACCTGAGAGTTCACTGCCGTCGCCCGAACAAGCGGTTTTTCAAAACACACACACACACACCCTTTCACACACACACACACACACACACACACACACACAGTGTGTGCTGCGTGCAGCGGGTGATTTCTTAGGCCGACCGGATTATCAGTGTATTCTGATGTGGGAGTTAGTGAAACAGTTAACGTGATTGTTTTTCAGCCGCCATTTTCACAAAGAGCTGTTCCCAACTGAGCGAGCGAGCGAGCGAGAGCGAGAGAGACTCATTATCCTGCAACCAATTTTCATCACTGTCCCATCAGTAATCTCTCTCTCTCTCTCTCTCTCATTACTCAGAGTGACTGGTTGGAGAGGAGCTTCACAGCCTGCTGCTTATTAAAAAAAACGCTTGAGACGAGTTCATCACGCTTTGCATCCCTCTTCTTCCCTCCATCTCTGCATCCCCCCCCTCCGGCTCTGCATCCTCTCATCCCCACCTTTTTTTTTTATTCCTTCCTCCTCCCTCTCTCTGTTTGAACTCACTACATCCTTCCTCTCTCGATATCCCCCCCCCTCCCCTCCTCTCTCCCCCTCTTCCATCTGTTTATTTTGTTTTTCCATCATCCTGTAGAGTGAAAACAACGAGGAGGACGGAGAAGAGACGGAGACCCAGACAGAGAGGGAATCAAACAGCTCCGCAGGGAGAGAGCCGGTCCCTCTGTGGCGGATGAGAAGGGAACTTTTCACATTTTCCGGGCTGATATTGTCGTCTATTCCTGCCCTCCAAACGCCTTCCTTTGTCCCAAAACGACGCACACTTCCTCCCTGTTCGTCTTGCGGCTGCTGTTGGATGAAAGTGGAGAGGTGGCTCACTGAACTCTCAATTCTCCTCACACACACACACACACACACACACACACACACCGTCTCCTACAGACGTCCCCGCGTGGAAAAGCACGATGACGCTCGCTCACACACGTGACGCCCGGTTCACCGTAAGAAATAATCAATTCAAACAGGTGCTTGTGTGATTCATTTTAATAAGCTTTTTTTAATTGTATCCCATTATTTAAATACACATAACTCACTGCTTGATCACAGACAATAAAGGTCAGGTTAGAGTGCAGCTTAAGGTCAGATTCTTCACAAGAATTATCAATATAATGTCGCATCTTCACAACAACGCGTCTCGCATAATTTGCGGGGAAAAAACGAGGAACTAATCAACATCTGCAGAAGAGCCAGCGTGCACTTGAAAAATCCATTAAATCCATTAAAGAGTTTTCTTCCGGCTGAAGAAGGTTTTAATCTGCAACAACAAGGAGGAGGAATCTGAACGTTGCGTATCCACAGCAACCGCGTCTGGCCAATCCATCGCTCACAGTTTACTCTTGACTGTGGCCGCTGCTGGAAGAGAAGAAAAAAACAAGAAAAAAAACCTTGTAAAACAGAGGGATGGTTGGTGAGGGGTGCGGGGGGGCTTTACGTTGGTCACCCATCAGCTGATACCGCTTCGGCTTTTGGACGCTCACACACACACTCACGCACACACACACACACACACGGAGCGGAGGGCCGGTTCCAGGTGTTGGAGACACATCAGGTGTCTGCTGGGGACTTGGCGGCCCGCCTGCAGCAGACAGTTCCACACCATCTACCAGCCAAGCACCACTTGGGCTCCCTCGCTGCTGCTACAAAACATGCTGGAGATCCATTAGAGGAGAAAGGCTAGTGCGGGTTTCTTTGTTATTTTTTTATTAAGGGACACACCTGTGTTTTGGGAAAATAACCTCTTTAGGCAACCGACCCGTGTGAAGACGTGGAAGGGTTGATTTCATGGATCAAGTGAAGACTTGATGCTTTGTAGCTGGTTCAGAGGTGGATGGATCCATGTTCCAGTATCCATCACATATAAATAAACTTAACAAACAGATCACAACATCAAAGCTGGTACCTCAGCTTCAGCTTCAGGGGAACACGCAATCGACACAACACCAACATATGACCTCAAAGTCACCACAGCCGACGATGTGAGCAATGCGGGGAAGTTTAATACGAGCGCTTTGATTTCCATCCAGTCCCGAGGAAACCACGCGACCACGTCGGGGGTAAACACTCTCTTCAGCAGCCAGAAGGCGGCTCGTCCTTAAATCCATTTGCTGGAGAGAAGTCAGAGTGCCGCGTGTCTACCAGCGTTGAGTCCTAATGGCAAGAGATTTTCAGGCAGATTTTACACGCGAGTGCAGAATGTGTCCACAGAGAGCTACTGTCTTTTCTTAGAGGACAAATAGAAGCAGCGACAATGCTTTTTCTTTTTGATTGATCACTAATTTAACCCCTAAAATCAGGTTTGTATTTTTTTTAATGGTTAAATAATTTTCTCAAACAGTTGGAGACGAACTTCAGGAAACATTAAGAGAGACTATTTTCCGCAGCGGATTAATAATAAACGGCGTAGTGAGTATTATCGGCAGAAAATACGATGGATTGAAAATAAACTTGTGCTCGAGTCCAGCGAGTGTGGTTCATTGAAATGTTTGTAAAAGCGTCTGGACAACAATGAAACTCGGGCTCCAGCTAAATACTCGTTATTAGGATCAATTGTTGGTTCAGGCGCTTTCATTGGATTATTGAGATTAAAACACCACCACAATTGTCCTTTCTCCTCAGATTTTTTCCCATGAGGTTGCTCCTTCGGCTCTTAAGTCATAGTTACATTTTTATCCAGAAAACAGTACATATCCTTCATATTTTTTTTTTTTTTTACGAGGTGGAGCATGCAGGGCCATTACAGTTTGAGATCCCATTATTTTTCGCTATTGATCTCCCTGAGGCCCCCGTTGAAACAAGGAATAAATCCTTCCTGGTATTGGCCACCACTGTTCGGGTCTGTCTGCAGAAAGATAAATAAATTAAGACTCTCTACCCCATGTCTGACTCAAAAGCTTATGTGGGAGATACGGCTGCAGAGTTGATTGGATTCTCCTCTTATTTTTAATAAGCTGCTCCTCCGTCCGTCTCCTTTGACTGCTCGTCCGTCTGGTCACATTTGTGAAAGACTTTGAATTTCCAGTTCACGGATTCTTTTTTGTTAATGTCTGCTTTGTTTTACAACATTGTTGTTTTACAGCATACTGAATTGTACAACTGACATCTCGTTAAATGCAAAATATCCACATATGGCCTTGAACTGTGAAGCAGCAGCAGGCATATCAATGATATACAGGGTGATGTATTCAAGCACCAGAGGCGTTTCTCATGCTTTTCCTTTACTGAAACGGAGACCATGAAAATCCTCTTTAAAACTAAACGCAACACTCCTTGCTTTAGTTTCCGCGTCAAACTTTTCTGCATCAGCTTTCTGATGTTGATGCTGCAAGGTCTTGTTTGTTTAATGTGTGCTGCTTCATCTTTGGTGTTACCCCCTTTGTTTCTTTCCCCCGTTTTTCATCTTTTATTTCTCCTCAAACATGAAAACGAACAACGCCGGGTTCCTCTAATTGCTCAGTAAGCACAGACCGAGGCAGGTTGTAAAGACACTAATTCAGATCCACAGTTGTTCACATCGCCAACTTTTTATACAGAGAACATTAGACTTTAAGTGAGCCTGCTTCATCTGAATAATTCAGATGAATGTCCGAGGTCTACCAGATGAGACGTGGGACCGAGCAGCTGCACAGAGCTCGTGGACGTGCAAATCTGCAGCGGCTTTGAGAGTGTTTTGTTGGTCTTGAACAAACAAAAGCAAAACCTTTTTTCTGCAGAAGCAGAGAATACCAAATGGTTGAGACCTCACAAAAAATGTTCTGGAGGCGAGAGGTGCGCTTGATTTATGGCGGCGGTAAAGCGGGACATTGGAGGTTAAGGCTGCAGTTGTAAGACCAACGCTTGATTTGAATAATTGAGTAAATGACTGATCATGTCCAGGAGCGCAGACCGCTGTGCGATATAACGCCATCAATCACGGGTGTAATCAAAACAAATGGGTGAAGTCATCACGCCACAGCTCCAGCCAACTTGGAATTTACGTATTTACTAAACTACGTTTAACATTGCAGATAAATCTGCATCGATGGCACGCGACTTTCGTTTAGTCTTTTTTGAAAAGCAGGTGAGACAGGACGTCCCGAGCGAAGGAGGAAATGTCTAGTTATCCTTTTAATTTACTCTCTTTCAGTTTCAGTTTTATGAAGCAGCTGTTTGAATCCAGAAGTGACAGTAATGAAATGCAAATAAACATTTAACTGAGGGGCAAATATTGTCAATCCTTGCTGGAGGAAACGGGACGGTTTCCTCTCTGAAAAGGACATTTACATTTGACACCAGGGCTGAGGCCGCACACCTGAACTACACACGTCGACGCACAACGAGGAGCTGTCACTGCTCGGGCCAACGCACAGAAAGCATGGAATGGATAAAAGTTCTCAAAGGTCATCTTGCATCCTGCTCCGTGGGGAAAAAAGGCAACAAGCGCACAAACACACACACACACACACACACACACACACACACACACACACACACAAACATTCTCAAACATCTGGGAGCGAGATCACAACAACAATGCAGGTCTTGATCAAAATGCAGCAGAACATTTACAAATGGAAATGATTGTGTTTCTATTCAGTATCTTTAAGCAGCCCGTAGGAGTTGATTCCTTGACATAAGCATTAGGTGGTGCTAGCTTTCTAGGCAGGTGCCACTATGACGCTGCAGGAGAAGAAGAGAGATGACGTCGTCAGGGTTCACTCATCCGTCTCCACCCGCTCACATTCTGCTTTGATTTACACACCAAAGTCACCACACGTAACACTTTATAGCCTTTATGAGTTTGCATAAAACGTTTTGTATCAACTCTTCGGGGCAAAATAACTTTATTCACTTTAAGTGTCTCGTGTCTGATGAAACCCAGATGTAACGCAAACTTCAGTTCACACTCATCCACATACGAATATATTCTGTCTGTCATCCTTCTGGCTACATGCAAATCTGTGCATCAACAGATTCTGAGTGGATTACAGAGTTTAACATGACAGTCTGTGGGTCTGGGGAGGAAAATACATTCATTTGATGTAATTAAACACAATTAAGTGTGCGATATATTAATACTATTGCTTCTAATGACCAATGAATGAATGTGCTAATGCATATATGTGCAAATAGCACACAGAGGACGAAGCAGCGCATTTATTACACCGTCCTACATGTCTCTATGTGTGTGTGAAGTCAAATTGAGCAGCGCTAAGTAGTCATCACTGCATATTTCATCACTGAAGTGTGTACGCGCGCGCGCGCGCGTGTGTGTGTGTGTGTGTGTGTGTGTGTGTGTGTGTGTGTGAACAACTACTCACCAGCAGGAAAGTAGAGCGGGAGGGTCTGCAAGTACAGCTCCTTATCCGCCGGCAAGAAGACACAGAAGATGACTCTGTCCAGCTGAAACACACACACACACACACACACACACACACACACCTTTACAACAATATGAAATCACCTGAATTCATCAAAAGCAGTGGGGGGAAATAATATGACAGTGTGTGTCATTGTGTGGCAGCAATACAAGAGGAAGGCAGCGAATGCATCAGTCCTTTACTCCTCTATTAGCTTCCTATTATGAAGCATATCTCTCTCACACACACACACACACACACACACACACACACACACACACACACACACACACACACACACACACACTCCCACACCCTCATAAAGATAATGGCTATCAAATATTATTAAGACCCTGGCCGAGTGAGTGCAGCTACTTTACACCGATAAACAACCTTTATGCTCTGTGCTCTCGTGTTCCCGAGATCTCAGCAGTCTATAATATTTACATTGTGGATAATAATGTGCATGTGTGGGCATTCAGTACAGTACAGAGAGCAGCACTACGTGTCGGCTGATGACTAAAGTTACTGTAGCTGCAGTAAACAGAAACGTTCCAGGGGATTTAAGCTCCCCAGCGTGCCGCTACTTCTCAGCCTCTACAAACATTATTGCCTCCCTAACGTCTCGGCAAAGGTTCAGACTTTTCTCTTTTGGAGCGAGGCCGCGCCGTTTATAGTCCAGCTGTTTTTATCACTTCCTGCTCGCTGTGGAAGTTTAACTCAGGCGAATGCTTGTTGCACAATTACCTTCAGCCGCCAGGATTTGAATGGAGACATGGAAATGTGCTGTGAGTAACTACGTCCTCTGGGCTCAGGTTGGAAATCTCTAACTTCCAGAGTCGCATCCACTCGGACAATTTCTCAGCCTGGCTCATTGAAATAAAAGCCTTTACGAGGAGAGATGAAAAATAGTCCCCAGAAAATGGAGGCAGTGTTGAGGACATTTTTTTTTACTGTAGTAAGAGAGCCAACAATAAGATAACAATCTTCTGTCACACATTACCGCTCACTGACCTCTAATAATAATCAAGCATTTCACAATTGTGAGCTTGTGAATACATTTTTGGTTGTTCGCATCGGTTGGGAAGAGCTATTTCCATTCAGCTGAATTTCATCTTTTTATAACTCTTAAAATAAGAAGACATTTGCGAGTTTTGCATTGTTGTTATTTCTCACTGGGAGGTTAAAGAGATTAATTTCCACCACATGTGGGATTACTGGTAAATGAGGCACATCACATCAACATTTATTAATCTGCCTCGATGAAAAGCGTTGTCTACTTTTCTAAGACAAGTCGGCATTCACCACAGCACTTACTTTAACAAATAGAATCTTTAAATTACAACTGCTGCACTTATCTAGAAATATGGAGATCATCCAAATGAAAGACATGCTGAGGATCTCCGTCCCAAAGCATCAATTCCAGCTGATGACGATCATGTGACCGGGTATTTCTATTGGACATTCTGGACACTCTCGCTTCTGTAAAAACTCCTCTTCAGTGTTTGTGATTTGCTCTTTTATTTATGCTGCTTGTGTCCATATTCATCTGATCCAAAAGGTCTTTAAAGTCTTTAGTTCTTCTGTCATTAGAAAATGTGTTATTAAACAAAGTTTATTATTATTAATCAGTTTTTTAACACATTCGGGTCAACTAGGAATCTTATTTGTAAAATATAACAGCCTTAAAACTCACGAGCTGCCCGTGGGTTTTTCTTTCTTGCAGCAGTTTAGTTGGTGCTTCACGAATAAATGATTCAAGGCACTTTTCATTACAGCCGATCCCGGGCCTCCCCCCCTGCGTCTCGGGTCCATTTTGTTTGTCTTACTTGGAATGTAATTTTCAATTTATTTTGCTATATTACCGCTCTCGCAGCCGAGTTGAGACCAACAGAACGCTGTGGAAAACATGCAAAGTGGAGCGAGTTCAATTAAAGATTTAAAGTCTTCCGGTGAACATTCTGTATGCAAATAAACTCTCACCATCATATTTGTTCACAGTGCAAAAAAAAGCGCCTTAAAAACACACAGTGGAACTATTTCTGGGCGGAATTTCAATGAGCGGACGTGTTTAATGTTCGCTTTAACGTGTTTAATCTTGGTTCTGCCGAGCTCGGCGTGGCTGACGGCATCGGCCGCTTGGTGTTGCTGCACGGACTCCGGAGACGAGGACGCTCACAATAACACCGTCAACACCGTCAACACCCTCCGAGGGAGGCGACACGGCGCAGTGCTTAGAGACAAAAGGAAACAAGATTGAAAAGGAGAGGAAGAGGAGGCCTGAGGAGTCGAGGAGGGTGCAGAGCATGTTCACGACTGATTGGAAAGTTTCCTCTCTGTTCCAAACCCCCCCCTTTACCCCCCCACCCCACCTCGGCCCTCCAGTCATCTGTTCCATCATTTTGCCTGTTTCTCCAGAGAGAAAGTGTGTGTGTTTGTGTTAGTCGGGTTTAGTCCCGCAAGGAGCCAATTAAAACGCAGACTTGGCCACGAGCATAAGAGACAGAACTTGTGTGTGTTTAAATGTATACTTGTGTGTCACTGTGTGCGTGTTTTCTCGATGCACCCTTCTCCTCGCTCCCACCAGGAAACAAACACAACAGCTGTGAAAGGAGTGATACCTTGAGGGAATGGAAGGGGAAAAATGGCCAATCATGCAGACACAAACACACACACACACACACCTCGCCGTGATGTTCACCCAGATACTCCCTCACAGCCGCCAACGCCTCGTGCACCGCCTGCTCCGCTGGATATCCTACACAAACACAAACATACAACACAAGTTGCGAGCGCAGGTGTTTGCACTCGGACGTCGTCAACACTGTCTTTTATAAACAATCACGATGCATTGTTTCAGCGCCCTGCAAGGGAAGAGATGTGACTACAGTAATAATCTCAGGTTACAAATGCCAAATAGTCATTTAAATGAATTAAATTCATTTAAAATGAAAGAATAAGGTGGGACAGAGATGGAGTGTACCCAGCATGGCCTCAGTACAAAACCCAGTGTGTACACAACGTACTGCTCATGGATTCTGCACTACTGCTTGTAGAGAAAAACAAAAGGACCAACATAGAGAGATTTCAGTAAAAAGTTTAGTCAACTCAAAGCGAGAAAAGGTCGTCTCCATGTTTGAACCGGAGAGGAAGACGCGGATAACACACCGAGTCTACGGAACTTTGCTCTCTTTCCTCTCTTGCAGCATGGGAGACGTGTTTACAGCCGGCCCTCCCACACAAACGCTCCCCGGGGAGTGTTTAAGCACTCTGCTTCGCTCTCTGTGTGCTGCCCGTGTGAAGGGGGATTACAATCAATCTCACACCATCTCCGGCCTAATCTGTCTTAATCTGCCCGTCCTAATCCCAGGCCTTAATCTGGGAGCTGCCCCCGGGCTGCAGGAGATAATGTGACAAGCTTAAACAGGCAGATACTGGAAACGGGCACGTGATGGAAAACATCACCGCCGGTGTGCGCGGCGCATTAACACGGGAACAAAGAAGCGGCGTTGTTGGAGGGAAATTCATTTCTTATTCCTTTCTTTCGCATCTGTTTTAGTATAAAGCGCGCACGCACACGCACACGCACGCACACACACACACACACACACACACACACTGACCGTAGACTCCAGTGGAGATGCAGGGGAAAGCCTGCAGGGTGAAGATGACAAACAAAGTGGTTACAGTCGGTTGCTGATCACATAATAATCTGCTTCCATCCCGCCCACTCAGAGGAAGGACTCTTCAGCATCGCAATGAAATCTCTCCTAATTGCTTTTTATAGCAGCTTCTCTTCTCTTCTCGCTCTGACTGCAACTTCTCTTTAGAGATCGAGCTGTCAATCATCTTCTGTGCAGTGACTTTCTTATGTGTTTTTGTATTCACTCTGATATTATCTACCACATTGCAGTCCCGGTGGTTGATGACAGAAACCGAGGTTTCAAAATAAACAAACAAACAAACAAACCACTGCCTGAACACAATATTTGTGTCATTTAAAGACACTTTCCCTTCTATATTACACATATATTATTTAAGGTACAATTTCTTTATGAAATACACAAGTCGAGGCAGTTAGAGTCAAACTTTACCCCAAAATCAATGAAAGCTCATAAATGGGGAGTATTTACTGAATGTACAACGTCTCCATCCTCCAGAAAAATGTCATCGATATATTTCAAATCTCCAATCTTACTTGACCCCTTCAGGTCATTTAGGTGCCTCTCGTGGGTTGGTGACACGCCGCTGGAGTTGAGCAAAGCAGCCGGTAAACTTCAAAGTAAATCGGAGCTGGCAGACTCTCGGCCTGCTGTCGGTTCGGGCGGTCCGAGCAGACGCCAGCCGTCTCCCGCCGTCGCCAGATCTCTTCATTCCACCAGATTGCAGAGTTGGCAACTCGGGGTGAGAGCAGCCTCGACTCGGAGGTTCCTCAAAGCGGACGGTACCCATCACTCAACGGGCCCAACCGGAATGAAAATTATTCAGGACGTTGTGATTACGCCTGGAAGTTTACACATTTCGGCCGTGTAATCGAAAATAAATGACAAATATAATAAATGCCGAAAACAAATGTTTGCAACGGATCGGCTCAAATTGTTTTTTAATCGTGAAACTACAAACTCTACCTCAGACTTTATTTACATGCTGTGCCGCTGTTCCCGTTTGATTTTAACACCTCATGCTGTTGTGAAACCGCCCTGGTGTGCATCATAAAAGCTTTTTACAGCCGCCTCACCTGCAGCTCGCCCCTCTCTCACTATCTCACTCCCAACGTCCTTTGAAGAATCCTCGTCTCTCTTTTCCTCTCATCTGTCCCGTCTCTCATTTTACCCTCCCAGTTTTCCTCTCGTTCTTAATCTAATCTAATCTCCCGTTTCCTTCGGTCTCCCGCCTCCTCCCCCCCAAAAAAAACAAAACCTCCCTCGATCCTTTTCTCCCCCCAGCAACCATCACCCCTCCGTCCTGCTCACCACGGAGCGGGCGGCGCCTTCGGTGGCTGCCGTCAGGCTCTTCTCGTAACACGACCTCAAGGCGTTCTTCTCCTCTTGTCCCACTCCTCCTCGTGCCACCGGCCCCACGGTGTGGATCACGTCTGCAGAGAGATGAGAAGATGAAAACACTGCAGGCCGACGCATATGAAGATAGATGGAAAATATGAGTGCAACACATCTCGAGTTTAATCTTCCCCAGTCAAACATCCCATTTATTCAGTGGTTATCATCTTAAAACTAACCTCGTATCAGGAAGAAATTCAGAATGAATTCAATCTCCGTTTCATGCCAAGTACAAAAATAGGATTAGTTTATTCCACTATAATAAATATCTGGTATTTTGGTAGCCTGAGATAGAATGACCAAAGACACAAGTCCACTAATGAATGAATTATTATTATTATTAATTAGACGCGTTATTGTAAACACTATATTGTAACTGTCAGGTCGTCAACCCTGCGGTCACGCGGCTGTCCTGTGTTGTCATGGCTACTATATCACGTACGTGGGGACGATGTGCATCATCTTTCCTCTGCGTTTGACACCAAACTGCTGCGGATGAAGACTTTCAAGTCAAATCAAAAGCTCGAGAGTAAAACAACGTGTCAGAAGCGCCCTGATTCGCTCAGTTGCAGGTGAGTCGCACTCGTTTCCCCTTCAGGGCATGAAAACAGGAAGCCTCATCATCAGGGCCGGCTCCTGCTGTGACGCGAGTCACATGTCCTTTCTGCCACATAACAGCCTGAATTCATGCTTAAAGCTTTGTTCCCTTTCCTTTGAAAATGCCTTTCAGGAGTCTGTAACCGGGTTGCAGATGACCCTGTACAGTAGAGTAGCAGCATTAGATTGTTACAGCACACACAGGAAGCCCTCAAGGCGCCGCTGTCACAGGGTTAGACGCTGCATGCAGGTGGTTTTTAAATATTTAACATGGCCAAAAACCCTGAGACATCTGTACGAGAACGTTGTGGGTGTTTTTCATTCATTATGAAGTCAATAATTTAGATCCCGCACAATCTTTCTAGCCAATTAGCCCACAAAGAACGTGCCCTAACAGTATCAGCATCTGCCACTGCCAAGAGATGATGACCTCCAATATGGCTGCCAGAGGATGTATTATGTCCACTGGCCGATTTTAAACGAATCTTGCATAAAGGTTTCACTCGTTATGGAGCTTTACACATGTATCACATTTAAATTTTCATTTAAATTATTAAAAATCACATTTCCTTTGTCTCTCTCGGCAAATTCACAACAACAATGTGTTTTTTGCCACATATAAAATCAGTTTTTCTGTAATTCAGTAAGACTGTTGCTAACTTAATGAATGTATTTCTTTCCCCAGGATTTTGAAGAAATATTTCACTTGGAGTAATTGATTGAATTAAATTGTCAATGAAGTGTTTTGAATGGAAGGCAGAGGAGAGAAAAAAGGAAGCAGAGGACCTCGGAGCTGGGTGAGAAAAGTCCGCTGCCAATACCACACATTCTGATGAGGCTCAGCGGGTTGCTCTCAGTGTGAATACCACACACACACACAAACACACACAAACACACACACATCAAATAAATTCCATTTCAACAACACGTCGTTTTGAGACTTCTTAGAAGGAGAAATGTATCTGTTGTATTTCTCCTCTGCGGATCAATCCTGACTCCTCGGTCTTGAATCAAGTTCATGTTCAGTGATATTAGTGGATGGAAATAGAGTACCTGCACATTTGACCGACATCCAACAGCCGATCAGGGACTCAAACCTGCACAGTCACCACAGGGGGAGAAGGTTCTTGCCAGCATTCCTACCCGCTCTGTTGAACGTTTGCTCCGGAGAGCTTCCCCCACACTTTGCTATGCATTGAATATGTACATCCACGCTGAGACACACCAACGCCGTCGGCTCATTCGAGCGGGCAGCTGGCTTCAGACTCGGTAAAATGATTGTGACATTTTTCAACAGATGTCAAAGAGTTGGTTTTTTTTTACACTCTATGGGTTCATGATGGCCACACTTTGGCACTGCAGCGTTGTCTCTGGAAGCTGAAGCATTCGAGGTTGTGTGTAAATGAAATACAGTCTGCGTGTGCGTATACGTTGTCGCAGCTTTTGTCAATTTGCACTTGTTTTCCATTAATTCGCCATAAATTCTCGGGGGATTTATAGACGACTTTCTCGCGGTAGACACCTCACATTATATTTTCCGGAAAGCGTGAGTCACACTGAGAATATGGGTATTGTGTCTGTGTGCTCCGATTTGACTGAGTTATGATGACAGCGGCACTCAGGCGTTTTTAGTGCCTCTAAACTACAATAACTGAACCTGTTGTTTTAAGACGCTGACATTTACCTGAATATTTCATCTCACTAGTAGCATTGCCTCTGTGGCCCCCGTGTGGGCCGGATTCATCAAAACAAAACGAGCCCAATGATTAATTAAGATTCAAATGGACATTATTCTTGTTCTTGTGTTTGAATCCCAGACACACTTAACAGGTTGCTTTCTTGTTAGAATTAGTTTTAGTTGTTTCCATTGACAAGGCAATTGTGCCATCTAACCAAAATCAATAAAATATATTAAGTTACCCGTGCAGGATCTGCTCCTTACAGCCCGCTAGTGGAACAGAGCTCCCGGCGATACTGTGTTATTTTTATAATAACAAAGCCTGCGTGACACAAAGCACAAATAGATGAAACTCTTAGTTGAGAGGAAAGTTTAAGCTTCAATCTAAATCCACTTTTTGTTAAATCCTCTCTAACACGAGTGCAGTTGGAAACATTCTGATAACATGCAATACATTTTACACAGAAAGGTTTTCGATACCCGTTTTAAATAAAATCTGCTTGATTATTTTGTAGTGAGTTATTGTGTATAAATGAATATGGTTTATTAATTTATTCCATCACAGACTGACACATATTATGTCAACCTTTGAAACGGGTTTTCTGTAGGACGTGTTATATAAATGTGCTGTTTAAATAATGCACATGGGTTAGCATAACAGAGCATATTTTTGTAGTTTTATGTATTTGTAAATTAACCATGAAGTCAACAGAAGTTATGTGTCCCTCCTTTGACTGGACGTCCAACAGATGTTGTGTGGAATTACTCTTTAAAGTCTACTTTTGATCATTTTATTTTCTGAAAAATGTGCCTGCAGAAATGGCCTTTGCATTAACATTAAACTTTAAAACAAACATTATCCTGACTATTTGAATTATTTAAGTTGACTTGTTCGGGGCATAAAAAATAGAGAACCAACTGATAATCCTCCACAGGTTTTGTCGTCGCATAACATTTGTATTATGAATAATATTAATAGGCTTGTGCTTTTCTCAGCAGAAAACAGTCCTCCTGCAGTCATTAAACTGGAAACGGGGAGCTTTACACCAAAGGAATATTATCAAAAACCACAAGCGGGCTCGACTCCGCGTCCCCCCCGAGACCAGCAGCACGTGGATGAAAGAGTGCACCGATACCTAAAGCGATTTCCACAGAAAGACTGAAAGGAACTCGTCTGCACACCGTGACAGTCCTTCATCCAACTGGCAGCTGATGAAAAAGAGTGCAGCCTCTGAGAAATCACTCAGCCTGAGTGCATAAACTTAAAAAAAAAAAAGCCGCAATCAAAGCCGGTTCATACATCCACACGGCTATTTGACATATTCTGCAATAGCATAGATTATCAAGGCGTTAACGCCATGTCACTTCCTGCTTGAAAGTGGAGGTGGATATTGATGGTATGACATCGATTTCCCTGAACTTGCCCCGGTGAATATTGTCCTTGTGTCTGACACTACATGAAAGCGAGGTGAGGCAACTGTGTAAGTGTTGAAACTTAACTACAGCCTCTCAGCATTAATGACCCTGCTGGAAGTCACGCGGCGGTAATTCCCACGGACGTCTAATCTGCAGTGGGAGGATCAGTGTCGCCCGGACGACTCCGCTCTCAGTCCACACGTCTTCCAAATGTGAGCTCGGTGTCCACGCGGACGCTGCGGCCTCGTGAACCCTCCTGCAGAGAGTTTCTCTTTCCTTTGCACCGAAAACAATGTACTCACTAGTGTGATGTTTCTAAATTGTAGCTTTATTTTCAGTACGGTTAAAGTAATTCAGCGATTTAATGTTCATTCTTTAGAAAAAAGTTCAGGTCGACATTTACAAATTTTATGATTTGTCCAATACGGCTGATTATTTGACCAATTGTTAATCACAGCTTGTTCAGAGTCATCAGCTTGGACGAAAGGACAATGTAGGTTGTATCATCCCTAAATAATTCTGCTAAAATCCTGGATCACCGTGTGGCCCAACTCTTTATGTTCAATGAAACATCCTGAGGACGATAGTTAGCTTTGTACCTTAATGACGGCTCAACAGAAAACTGAAGGAAACCCAACGTTATTCTGTCCCGGGAAACAAAACACTGGCTTAGAACCGGCAAATTAAAAGCTCCCAACATCTGGCTATAAAATGAATCACTATTGTGATTCACCACTTGAGCAGCAGAGGCTTTATTTATAGTGCACGAGAAAGCTGCTGTCTGAATAGCAGCACGGACGGATTAGCACACGCTAGTTTGATGAAACGCGGCATATTTTGGCTTAATTACAGTCGTCAAACGGGCACGAAGGAAGAACGGTGAACTCCAAAAGAGGACACGTTTGTGGGCCCGGTTGACAACTCAGCTGACGTGCGTGTGTGTGTGCGTGTGTGTGTGTGTCCTTTTAACGTGTGTAAGTGCGGTGCTGTGTGTGTTGATCTGGTGCGGTTCAACAGTGGGTCACTTGGTGGTCATTTATCTACATTTCATCTGTTTAATGTCACTGCTACAGCGTCTCGACACACACACACACACACACACACACACACACACACACGCACGCACACACCGCTGTTTCTGCTAAAGCTGAATTGTCATCTGTGATTGGTAATTGTTCCTCATTGCTAACCCAATTATCTGCTCTCTGCTGGTTCCTCCCTCTCCATCATCTTTTCACCTCTCTGTCCATCCATCTTTTTTTCCTGTCCATCGTTCCGTTTCCTTCCCCACGTCCTTTGTCGTCACTCCTCCCCCCCTCCACCATTACCTCATGCAGTCATGTCACC